AGAACATTAATAAGCAGAAAATCCATCATCAAAAGGATGAAACTTGTCAAAGGCCTTTTCAAAGTTTTGTGTCGTATCCAACATCAAATAGGTAAAATTCCACATAGTAGGAACATCCAAACACAATGTTTTGGTACATTCTACCTTTACATGTGCACAACACTGTTTAAACTTTAAGGTCCTTGCAGGCGAAGATCTCACATACCTCATAATATTTCTAACACGTGTCACAGAAGCATCAAGTTCTTTCAAACCATCTTGCACAATTAGATTTAGTATATGAGCCATGCATCTCACATGAAGATGTTTACCACTCATCATATTAGTTTCCACATATCTAACTGTTTAGACAATTCTTTGACTGTGACATCATTTGAAGAAGCATTGTCCACGGTAATAGTGAAAACCTTGTCTAATTTCCATTCAAGCAAACAATCCCTAATAGCTTTAGCCATCTCTTCACCCTTATGACTAGTGAATTTAGTATACTTTTATGCAACTTCCAATCCCATTCAATGAAGTGGGCTGTCAAACACATATAATTTATTCTTTGTAATGAAGTCCATGTGTCTGTTGTGAGGCAAATTTTTGGTTGTGCTTATCTAAAAGACCTTCTTAGATTTTGCTTCAATTCACTGTAAACTTCATAACAATCCCTTGTTATTGTTCTACGAGAAGGAAGACGAAATAGCGGTTGAGTTTTTCTCATAAACTTCATAAAGCCTTCATTTTCTACAAAGCTAAATGGTAGTTCATCAATAACTATTATCTCAATTAAGGCCCTCCTAACCATTTTTTGTTCAAATTTCCAAATTGATCCTTCATCATTTTGGCAAGATTGAAAATTTAACTTTGTTTGACTATTATCTTTATCAATGTTAAGTGGGTATTCTTTGCATCTAAGCAAATGATTCTTCAATCATGTTGTTCCATTCCTAGATGAATTAGCCGCATAGGCTTGTTTACAATATCGACACCGTGCTTTCCCAACCCCATTAACCTCAAATTTATCAAAATGGTTCCAAACGTCAGACCTAGGTTGCATGGCTTTCCTTTTCTTGGAATCTTGGGTATCAATGGTGTTGATGTTACTATCTACCGTAATAGGTAAACTTTCACTTGAACCAGCATCACCTACTCTACTTGTATCTGCCATCTATACAAAATTAAACAAATATAAACACAAATTAACAATCATGTATTTTAAAAATAACATGCAAAAGAAACAGATGGATACTAATCCAACCAAGTTCAAATTTTCTCTGTAAATCAGCAAACATACAGCACAACTACATCATATAACGTAGAACTGAACCAGAACACATGGACTAAATATATTCTCTGTAAATCAGCAAACATTACAGCAAACATTTCAATATATTTTCTGCAGATTGCAGAACACCAGGGAATAAATGCATCATTTTTATGTATAATAGTGCGTCTTTTATCTTCTAAGGCTCAAGATATCCAACACATTAGAAACAGGACAATCAAAAAAATAAACAAGGGTAAAAAGAGAGCACAAAGACGTGCAAACACGGCAGATTATAAATGTATTGTTCTATGTCCATCGCTNCTCAGCTATTTTATTTTCCTTTCCCTTTTTTCCTACCCCTAAAAAGTTCTTCAAGTGCCTCCTCAACATATTCAAATTTGTTACATGGATCCAAGACGGAAGCAATAAAAATCATTTTATTCATCTTTTCAGGCTCACCCAACACTTCTTGAACTTTTCTTGCATTCGCTCAGCCATTTTTTCTCAAATGATCATCCTCACTAACTAAACACATTTTCAAATGACAATAAAGTTTAGATACATCCTCAAAATGAGAATTACAAGTGACATAACATGAACCTGAAATTTTTTTAGTTAACTCGTGAAATCTTGCAAGAAACTCTATCACATTCCTCACATTCACCCAATCATCAGATTTAAGAGGACCTGAACTACTACCATCTTCACAAAGATGAGAACATTAATAAGCAGAAAATCCATCATCAAAAGGATGAAACTTGTCAAAGGCCTTTTCAAAGTTTTGTGTCGTATCCAACATCAAATAGGTAAAATTCCACATAGTAGGAACATCCAAACACAATGTTTTGGTACATTCTACCTTTACATGTGCACAACACTGTTTAAACTTTAAGGTCCTTGCAGGCGAAGATCTCACATACCTCATAATATTTCTAACACGTGTCACAGAAGCATCAAGTTCTTTCAAACCATCTTGCACAATTAGATTTAGTATATGAGCCATGCATCTCACATGAAGATGTTTACCACTCATCATATTAGTTTCCACATATCTAACTGTTTAGACAATTCTTTGACTGTGACATCATTTGAAGAAGCATTGTCCACGGTAATAGTGAAAACCTTGTCTAATTTCCATTCAAGCAAACAATCCCTAATAGCTTTAGCCATCTCTTCACCCTTATGACTAGTGAATTTAGTATACTTTTATGCAACTTCCAATCCCATTCAATGAAGTGGGCTGTCAAACACATATAATTTATTCTTTGTAATGAAGTCCATGTGTCTGTTGTGAGGCAAATTTTTGGTTGTGCTTATCTAAAAGACCTTCTTAGATTTTGCTTCAATTCACTGTAAACTTCATAACAATCCCTTGTTATTGTTCTACGAGAAGGAAGACGAAATAGCGGTTGAGTTTTTCTCATAAACTTCATAAAGCCTTCATTTTCTACAAAGCTAAATGGTAGTTCATCAATAACTATCATCTCAATTAAGGCCCTCCTAACCACTTCTTGATCAAATTTCCAAAGTGATCCTTCATCATTTTGGCAAGATTGAAAATTTAACTTTGTTTGACTATTATCTTTATCAATGTTAAGTGGGTATTCTTTGCATCTAAGCAAATGATTCTTCAATCCTGTTGTTCCATTCCTAGATGAATTAGCAGCATAAGCTGGCTTACAATATCGGCACCTTGCTTTCCTAACCCCATTAACCTCAAATTTATCAAAATGGTTCCAAACGTCAGACCTAGGTTGCATGGCTTTCCTTTTCTTGGAATTGAGTATCAATGGTGTTGGTGTTGCTATCTGCTGTAATAGGTAAACTTTCACTTGAACCGGCATCACTTACTCTACTTTCATCTACCATCTATACAAAATTAAAACAAATATAAACACAAATTAAGACTTAAATTCACCTTTTACAACTCAAAAGCTATATGATAAAACTAGTGTAGTTCACCTTTTACAACTCATGTTTACTGTTGTTGGTAATATGATTGATTTTGAAGTTAATTTCGGATTATAAATCTCTAACTGAATTGTATCTATCTAATAATTGCAGCCATACCAACATATAGTTAATTTGGTAGTGTTAACTTAATACTAGCAGGGCGTAACTTGTAGAAACAACATCCTAATGAATTATAGTCACCTATGAGTTCTGCAACCAAAACCAATTTTCGATCGAAGCTTTAAAATTACAAATTAAAACCACTTGTACAACTGTTTTTTCAAATGACTTCTTCCACAAACTCAAGCAATCTTCTGATTTTTAATTCATTTACAGAAAAATCAACTTCAAACTGTTAAAATATGCAATGTAAGTCCTAAAGGGTCAAACAACAAGCAACAGCAAGCCAATGTACCCTAGTAAACATCAGGTTTCGGCTTATATTAAACCCTACAAAGACCCAGCAAATCACTAGACTTTACTGTAGAGAAAGATTAAAAAAATGCAGTCTTTACTCGAACCAGTTACATCTAATTCATCCAAAAACAGGTAACATCCATTTTTCTTTGAAGAAACTAAAGATACCATTGAAGAAACTACAAACATACCTTTGATTCTTTGAAGTCACAGCAGTCGATCTCTTAGTAGTTAGTATTCTCACTGTGAACGCACTGCAAAGCCTAAAACCTTCAAAGGTCTTCTCGCTGAAAGAACCCTAAATCGCGATTTCTGACTTTCTGCCTTTCTCCCTTTCTATTTTTTAAATTCTAATTCTCTAATCAGATAAGTGAAAGACTAGTGTAGGGCCTTATTGGGCTGGGCTGGGCTGGGGCGCTGGGTAATGGACATTAGATATACAACTTGGGCTGGGCACTATAGCTATAGGTCCAATTTAAAATTCGGTATTTCGGTATACCGAAATTTTAAGATCTTAATACCCGAGGACCGTACCGAAATATCAAAATACCGAAAATGTAGTACCGAATTAGATCGAAATACCAAAAAAAACCGAAACCAAAATACCGAATTAATTCGGTCCAGTTCGGAATTCGGTTTTTCGATTTTTATGCCCACCCCTAGACTAAAGTACCAAACAAAGTGGAACGAAACAGAGAAAACTTGGACGCCACTTAATTATTGGGCCTATGCTTTCTGTTGGACCTATTAGACAAAAAAGGAGATAGAAATGACACCAGATAGGCACTCTAAAGGGTTGCTATTTAAAAATTAGTTAGTCCTTTCTGAATTTAGTTTTTAAATTTTATTTTTCAAGACAAAAATTTTGAATTGTCTTGAATTTAAAATTTTAGGACAAAATAAGTACAGACTAATCTCTAAATAATATCTTGAGAATGGCTATCTGTGGTAAAAATAGCATGGGCTAGCCAGTTTTCGGATTGGTCGTTCAAAAATAGCCAGCGTTTGCAAAGTCACTGAAAAAATAGCCACTATTTTGCTGCAACACAAAAAATTCCAGCATAATATACTGGAGATTGGAACAACTGCGTATGAACTTCCAGCATAATATACTGGACCGGTATATTATACTGGAGTTCCAGTATATTATGCTGGAGTATTTTCTGGATTTTGAACAGTGTTTTCGTTCAAATTTATCTTTACATAAAAAATGACTAAATTTCGATTACTTTTAAAACTTTGGCTATTTTCAAATGACCATTCGTAAATCTCGCTATTTTTGAATTTCTCCCCTGTCTATGCACTTGCCCCGGAAAGGAGGCGGCCTTATCCATAACAGACGAGCCCATTTGTAAACATCAAATACAAACATGCTAAGCAGATAAGATGGAAGAGGAAGTTGCTCAACTTCTGATGAGGATTTTCCTTTCTAGAGGAACGAGGAGAATTAGAAAGCAAGAGAGATGGCGGGAGCTTCCATATCTTCTTCTTGTTGGAGCTTAACTGCAAAATTCAAAACCCTTTCTCTCAATCCTTCTCACCCAAATGCTGCTGCTTTCAATCCCCTAAGCTTTTCTGCTAACACTTCGGTCAATCTCTTCTCAAAAGGTACTCAGTTCATATACAACAACCATTTGCTTTAATCTATGTCTTCTTTTGATACCTTTTCCATATATTTGCAAAATATAGCGGGTCCCAAGCTAGGAGAGTTAGTGATAAGCTGATAGCTAGCGGAAAATTAGTTTAGCTGTGATGGAATGTGTAAATAATGGAATGAACTGAACCTGAATTTATATAAAGTTCGGGATTTAGGTGTAGTTGATTGATTGATTGATGATGCGATTTTGGTGGACATTCCTCTGTTCTAGAAGAATTGATACCTTTTGTGGCCCTAACGATTTACAAAATTCGTAAAATTTCAGGGTTTGTTTCAATGACTCATCTGCAGAGGCCGTCACGTCCTTCCATTGTTTGCGAAGCTGCTCCAACGAAAAAAGCAGATTCAGCTGCCAAAAGGGCACGCCAAGCTGAGAAGAGGCGAATTTACAACAAAGCTCGAAAATCTGAGGTCAAAACTCGGATGAAGAAGGTATACTGCAATCCTAATTAGTGGTTCTTGATAAACTTAGTTTGATTGAGCTTAGTTCTCTTTCAGTTGTCCCCTATTGCATGTCCCACTGATTTTCCAACTTGTGCATTAATTTTTCATTGTTCTCAAAAAATTTCTGCACGATCATATTCGTCTCCAGTTAAGTTGTCTCGCGTAAGCTTCTTGTATATAGTGACGAAGCCAGTAATTTTTTCAAGGGTGTTCAAACTTGAAAGAACTGCAAAAAATCTCCAATAAAGGATGTTTAATATATGTTATATACCTCTAAAACTTAATATTTAACTTATATATACAGTGTAATTTTTCTCCTAAGGGTGGTCAGTTGACCACTCTTAAGATGGTGTAGCTTCGCCACCGCTTGTATGGGTGTTAAATAAGCATATTGGGCCAAACTTGAATAAGTCAAAATGAGTTGAATCAACGGAAAAGTTGAATCAATAAATGGTCAATTCTGTCCAATGTTTACTGGGTCAAGATAGGTTGATTAACTTGGTGGGACGCTGTAAATAAACTAAAATGAGAACACAGCATATACAGGAAATTTTAGGAAACAAAGAAAAAACTGTTGCTAGTAAGTAATGACTTTTTAAGGTGCAAGTCCCCGTATGAAGCTGTGTTCCATATCTCCGCGTGAAGCTAATGTCTTATCTCATATATTTGGAATGTCCCATAATGTGTTCTACTGTCACCACTTAATAGTTTTTAGGATCAAAAGTGCACATTTTCCAGAAAGACTAACAATTACTTTGCCAAAAAGTTAAAGCTACATGACAACCTGTTTATCTGCGTATTAAAGGTATGTTTTCCTGTTTCAGGTTTTGGAAGAATTGGACATGCTGAGGAAGAAACCAGATGCACAGCCAGAGGAAGTTCTTACTATCGAAAAATTGATTGCAGAGGCATATTCAGTAATTGACAAAGCAGTCAAAGTAGGAACACTTCACAGGAATACTGGAGCAAGAAGGAAATCACGGCTTGCAAGAAGAAAGAAAGCAGTTGAGATCCATCATGGCTGGTATGTACCAACTCCAGCCACTGAACCTGCTTCTGCAGCCACAGTTTAGCCTCTTCCTTGTTGAATGTAAAGCAGCGACAACTTGAGTAATCAGCTACCTAGAGTATGATTAATTATTCACTTTTTATATAATATATCACCTTGTTTGTGCAATCATTGTTCTCTTCTGCTGTAGCACTGAAATCAGCAATGTGATTTTATTTGTTAAGACACTTAAGCATGTTTCAACTAGACATATTTTTCCATAAAATGTTGGATAGAAGAAAACAGAAGAGTGGTGAACCAAAAAAAGAGAAGGGAAAAAAGAAGGGACATGTGGAGACTAATGCATCCTTTCCAGATATACTTGTTTCATATTGATGTTTTGGTGACACTGCTACATACGAGCAGAATGTGCTTATACACAGTAGTGTCAAAAACAAAGAATGTGCTCTCAAAATTAATTAGAGGTCATCATAATGTTTTAGCTGATTAGTAACACTCAACAGGGGTTTATAGAAGTTGTAGTGAGATTTACGCACTCGCCAACTCAATGCAGATTTACCAAAAGTAAATCTGCATTGAACAATTGGTACAGGATGTAGGGCGGTAAGCTGATGCCTTCAGTGGATAAAGATTATAGATGAGAATATTCCTTGAACAAACGGAACTTGTTTTATAGATAGTGAAGCCACCTATATAATCCAGTGTTTGAAACAAAACCGAAGGGCAATATTTGTGGCACTGCATATAATAAGCTGATGACGCTTTTCGCTTTAGAAAATACATCAAAAGAGATGCCTTTTAAGATTCTTAATTGATGTTTACATTATTATGAAAACAAAGGATATCGTACAAAACTAGCTCTAGTGCACCGTTCACGGATCACCTGCCCTTTTTCATATTCAACTTCTCATTCTTCTGTTTCCTAAACCTCTTTCATTGTCCCATAAATTTCTTACAGCATCCTCCAGAATTTTGTCCTTGCTCCAAGCACCAATCCCTTAAATGTCATCTCATTGAGATGATACAATCTGTCATCTTATCTTCCACTGTCGTTATGACCGCGAATCATGTAAGGCCAGACAAGATTGCTTATTCTGCTTCCACCACAATTAACGAGTAGAAAGGGGGACAAGTGAATCACAGGACATTGTTCAGTGAAATCCACATTACCAGTTCTGCAACTCAAGGCAGTTAACCAGCAATGCTACTTTAAGCCGCCCAATCATTTCTCCAAGTTCGGGCAGGTAAAACTTGCGGATTTATCAAAGAATATAACTTCCAAATTGAAGACCAACAAGGACCAGCATTGGCTATAAATTATAATATGAAAAGATTGGAGAAATAATGTTATCAAGTTTTTATACCTCCAAGTTTGTTTCTAAGGGGTACCTAAATGAGAGTGCATGAAACTTGTTACACACAAATGTTCACTCCAAATTATCACCATGCAGTTAATTGTTTGCTGATAACATGTTTGCATCAACACGCAGTGATCAAAGCCCCTAGTTGATCTTGATTTGCTAACATTTCCATAGAAAATGTTAAGTGCCTTTCTCATCATTCTAATGCAAGCCAATAGAACGTCAATCAAAAATAATATAATTAGTGGAGCTGGCCTTACCTAGTGTTCTCATTCCTTTTTCCCTTTTTGGTCATTTCCTTCTTCTCCAACTCTTTTCTTTTCTCCTTTAGCATGATATTCATGGCATCCACCAACAAATTTGTCCTTGGCTCTGGCACCATATTCTTTGAAATCATCTCATTAAAATAACACAAAGCATCCTCTAGTCTTCCCCCTTCAAAAAGTCCATGAATCATAATTGTATACGATCGTTGATCAGGTCCTAGTCCACTCCTCTCCATCTCATCCCAGGTACTCTTTACTCTATCTTGATTATCCCAGCTCATAAACAACCTTAACAGCAAATTATAGGTATCTCCAAGCATTTTACATCCATTTTTATTCATCCTTTCCAAAATCCCAATAGCTTCCTCGGGCGTTTTGGCGGAATTCAACAAGTAAGCATAAGTTCTAGCATTTGGCAAACAACCCTCTCCCTTCGTTTCCATCTCGTCTAAAAGCTCATAAACCTTCTCCATCCGCCTAATCTTACATAAATGTTTAATCAACGAATTATAAGTGGCGACATCAGGCAAACAGTCTCTCTCATTCATTTCACGGAAAATCTCCAAAGCTTCAGGAATTCTCTTCTTGAAACACAATCCATCAATAATACAATTGCAAATTGCCACATCCGGCTTACACCCTTTTTCCCACATTGTCTGAAACAACTTCACTGCAGTGCTTATTTTCCCTGATTTGCATAGCGAATTGATGAATGTCCCATAAGTAAACTTATCTGGCTTACACTTTGAAGTCACAATATCATTCCAAAACCTCTTTGCCTCACGTAAACTCCCTAAAACACACCATCCATTCAGAATGATATTCCGCGTCTTTATATCATGCTTGAACTCGTTCTTCTTATTGTGAAACAAGAATTCAGCAGCTTCAACATGCTTGAATCGACACAAACATACTAGAAGCGTCTGAAAAGCAATAAGATCAAGCTCCAAACCAAAATCTTTCCTCTTATAGAAAAACTCTATTGCATCTTCAACTTTATGGGCTGCAGCATATCTATTAATCACAATGCCATAAGTTCTTTCATTAACCAAATTTTCTCTCTTAGACATTTCGTCGAGCACTTGGTTGAGTTCATCGAAACGCCTCATTCGACCAAGTATATCGAGAATTTCATTGAAAGATCCAGTCTTTGGTGGATACCCGCCTGCTAATACCCATTTGAAGAACGTAAAAGCTGGTTTCCAATCAGAACGGTGCCGTTTAAGCACGTCAAGAATGAAATCTTCGGATAGTGCAAAATTGCATTGGTTAAGGGATTGAAATATGTCACTCACTGATTTATTTGCTTCAATCTTGAGAAGGGTCTGCACTTTCAACGCACAGTTCTCCTCAGCAACATTTGCAGCGAAGCCATCGGATTTTGTGTGCGTTTGGCGATGATAGTTTTGTATGGGAAGGGGAAAGAGAGGCGTTGTTTTGTTTGTTAATAGATATATGGGTTGAAAACTGCATAAACGGTGAATTTTCCGGTAGAGTTGTTTAGTTGACATTGGTAATCAGAAAGTGAATGCCGAATACGTGATGCTAGCTGAAAAAATTGCTACTCTTGGATGAATTTTCCGGCGGGAACGCTGGGGGAGTGGAGTTATGGAATGAAGAGCCAATGCAAAAGATGTAGGACCGGTTGTCCATAGATTTTTTTTCTTTTTTTTCAATTTTTGTTTTTAAAAAACGAGTTTGTCTATGAAATTTTACAAGCTTTTGGAGATTTTTCGAAAATAAATTTTTTAAAATCACTTTTTTAAAATTTTCAGAATTTTTTTTTTCATACTCATAAAACTGCAATATTTTCTCAAGTGAAATGCATGTCCAAACATTATTTCAAATTCCAAATACTATTTTTTAACTTAACTTCAAATATTATTTTTTGTAAAAAAAATTACAATTTTTATGTCCAAACGCCTACGTAGTGTCACGCGTTAGAGTCCTCTTAATACGATTGCCATTTTATTTTTTTTGTTTTTATACTTGGTACAGTTAATTCAAGTTGTACATAAGAAGAAAATGGATGTTTCATACTGCGAACAAAATTTCACAAGCATACATTCTTTTTTGGGTAATTTCTAGTATGCTTACTCAACCTTTATTTTGTTGAATCAAACATCACTTAAATTTACGTAGATATTCAAACTTAGTTACTCAATTTTTGGGGGGAAAATGATAAAAATGGTCTCTTATGTTTGAAGGTAGGTTCAAAGTAGTTTTTTAAGTATGTACTGAGCAGTTTTGATCCAAAAATATCATTCTTTTAGATCCGATCTAAGCCTTCGTAATTTGATTTTTTTTCCGACTTTAGGGTTTATTCATTTTTTATTAAGGTAAATTCAAAATTGTTCGAATTGTGTAATCATCAATTACTGACATTGATAAGCGACCTAAAGCGATTTGATTATAATTCAATTTGTGAGGATCAAAAGTAGAAAGTGCATATTCTTCGGTCATTGATAAAGAATTTGCTGGACAATACTCAACGCAATTACCACAAAATATATAGATTTCAAAATGAATAAGTTTGCCAAAAGTTAATACTTTTGGTCTCCACAAATATTTAACAATTTATATTCATTAAATTTGATAGAAACTAGAGAACATTTGGAAAGAAGACCTCCTCAACACTTGAATAGGTCAAGTGACCTCTTATTTTCTTTCTCAATTTCTTTGCATTGAAAAATGGTTAAATGAGTGGGGTTAGGGTGGATGGGGCCTTTTTAACATTTTAAAACTTGTGGGTCACCTATAAAGTTTGAAAAACACAATTTCTCTCTCATTTTTCCGCCAAATTTCTCTCTCATCTCTCTACTCTCTCTTCTCTCTATCACTCAACCCCATCGACCAAGGTGGTTTTCAGCGAGAAGGGACAAGAATCAAACTTCGATTTTAGGTGTAATCGTCTCTATAGACCCATCAAGCACGATATTAAAGCTCAGAACGCGTCAATTTTGGTAAATCCTAAATTCTTCTTTTTTTCGTTTCTTACATTTTTTATTTCGGGTTTTGTAGAGTGATTCGTTCATGTGCATGTTCAAGATCGATTGTGTTATGTATAAGTATATCTTATATGGCGTTGGTGGTTATATTTGCTTCTTGGACTATCTTTGTGGTCTGTATTTTAGAATTTCGTCGTAACTGGTAACCTAATGTTTATTGAGAAACTTGTGGTCGATTATTTTCTGGTCATAGATGTTTGTCGGAATTGGGGCTTATTTTTCTTATTCTGATCATAAGTTTGAAATTATTAAATGTGGCATTGCATATTTACATGTAGGTAACAGAAGGAGGAAATCAATTGCTAAGAAGCTTTTTCTTTTTGACAGAACCTTCACAGCCTTCAAAACCTTCAAATAGGAAAGAAAATACAAAAAAAAAAAGCATCGCCAAGTAAAGCAATTGCTGAGCCTTCAAAAACTATTACTAGAAAATGAAATGTAGATACTTCTAAAGCTTCCCCTAGTAAAGGAAATGCTGAGATTTCTAAGCATGATAGGAGAAAAAAGAACATAGAGCCATCAAAGTCTATCGGTAAAAAAGAACAAGATCAAGGTCTAGATTAGTTGACGAGGACATACCTGTTAGTAAAAAATCTGTTTCAAGGAGGTTA